CGAATTTTTAATTACTAAATTCGGTATAGTAAGGGTTTTTTTATATTTAAAAATCTGTCCGACACTGAAAATCCGTTATATTGTAAAATTCGTTATATCAAAATTCGTTGTAGAAAGAGTTGACTGTACTAATACTTTTTTCTTTGTATCTTTGCCTATATTAATAAATTTATTTAATATATAAATTAGGTGATGTTTATGATTATTCTAAAAGTTCAGATAAGGATAAGAATGAAGATAATGAAGATTATGAAATTAAAATTTTATTATCACGCAATATGAAAAAAGATAATTGTAATTTTCTTTAATTAATATTTATTATGAATATTTGATAATTATTATTAAAATTAATTTTTATTTTTAGTTAAGGTTAAAGTTTTAAATGGAATGAAAAATATGCTTAAAGTCTGCCAATAGTTAATAACAGAGAGATAAGGCATATTATTCATGACGTATCAAATATATAATACTTTAAATACCTCTTTGGATTTATCACTTGTCAATATGCTTGCCTTTTCTCTGATGATGAAACCTGCTACTATTATGTTAAATGATAAAAAAAATCTAACTCAATTTTAGCATGAAGAGATTAAATGTCTTTTTCTTCAATGTAAAGTACCTTCAGATAAAATTATTAAAAGACTTGTCACAATTATGATCTATATAGTAATAATGCAAAAGAGGTCATTTGTCACTCTAAAGAATTCTGATAGATTTTCATAGTAAACTCAATAAAAAAATCAGTGCAAGGGTAAATGAATTCAAAGATAAATAAATTAGAGAAAGATAAACTATTATATCAATGCCAATAGGAGCAGAAATTGAAGAATTCTTGTCTAAAGAAGTTGTTGAGCAAGTTTTAGGCAGATATTTAAAAGTTACAGACAAAAATAAATTCAAAAAATGTGGGATTATGAAAAAGCTCATATTGTTTATTAGAAAGGCATTTAAAATTTATTATACTAAATATAATATCAAATGCAAAGTCCCAAGTAGATTAGGCAAAAACATTACATCAAGTTTATCATTAGAATAAAGCAAAAGGTTGGAATTGTTATACTTAAATTTTATTTCATTCACTATATGTATTTTAAATTTTATTTATTTTTTTACGAACATTACATAATATTTAAAAATCATATTTTACATATTTTCTTTAATTATACATTCTTATTTGTAATATATTTTTAAAAATTGTATTTAACTAATTTTTTAACAAATCATTAATTTTAAAAATATTAAAAATTAGATTAAAAGCCTAAAGTGTAATAAATATATATATGATCAGATCTGCCTCAAATTATATAACATTTTTTTATTTATTATAATTATATTATAATTCCATTTTAATATACACATGCTGAGAAACTGATTATGAAACTTTATCTTTAATGTATTAGATAATTTTAAACATCAATTTTACATCCAAAGACGTATTTTAAAATTAAATAATAATATATTACAATTTTTTAGTCTACTAAGTATTATTTTTATATTTTATATGGTGAATTATAATGAAAACTTATTTTAAATAACAAATTTTTATTTAAATATATTAGGTAATTTTTAAATATCAAAAATTTGTTTGAAGTTTATTTTCAAAATTATTAAGCATATTTAGAAACACTATTCCAATAGAAAGCATTTTTTTTAAATTTGTATTTTTTTTTAAAAAACCTTATTGCATTTTTAATTTTGTTATAAAGATTGTTTTATTTAGCATATTATTGTTACAAACTAAAATTAATAAATGCTTACAAAAAAAAACAAAAAAAAAAATTTGAATATTGCTTTTGTATATAATATTACTTTTATATATAGTGATGTAAAAAAAATTAAAAAATATGTCATTTTTTTTTTTTAAAAAATAATCTATTCAAAATTATAATTAAATTAATGCTTTTTATCACCTATATATAGCTAATATAAAGCAAATAAATAGAAATTATATGTTCAAAGCAAAAAAAATATCACTAATATATGATCATATAATCGTATGATAGTTGCATATTAGTAAAATTAAAATTACTAAACTGGAGGTTTCAGTAAAGTATGTATATAAAGAAAAAGCTCTCTTATAGAAAAATCCTTCAAAAAATCATCAACAAAATCTTAAAACATAAATAGTAATCTTTTTTTCTCTCAACGTTAAAATAGAATATTGTGATATTTTTGAAAAATGATCACTGTAAAAAATTATGAACAATAGTTCTAAGACTAAGATCTATTATATAGATTTTATCAAAAGTCTAACATCATTGTTAAATAAATAGTATTAAAGATTCTCTTTTAAACTATTATAATTCTTTAATTTTAAATTTTATTAAATATTTGTTTATAAAATGATATAATTAAAATATTAATATAGAATATTCTTAAATAGGAATTAATTGAATTTGAATTTGATAAAGAAATCCACATAATGTTTTATAATTAATTATTTATAAATACTATATATATTATATTATTTATAAAATTTGAACAAATTTCTGATATACTTCTTAAATATTTTATAGTTTATTTTGCCAGTATATTAAGCAAATTTTGAGATGTTTTTATTATAATAATTTAATTTGTTTGTATTTAAATATATACTATATAAAATAATAAAATTTTCTATTAAAAATATTTAATAAAGTCTTAATTTTAGTCAAAATTCTCAGAATCTAATTTTTCTAACAAACTTCTTATATTATATAGTATTATTTACTTATATATTGAATAATCAAAAAATAAATTAAGAAAATTTATATTAAAATCTTTTAAAATCTATATTTTAATCTAATAACATCAAAAACTAAAAATATCAAAAAAATCAAAAATTTTTAAAAACTGATTTTTTTAGTAATTCTTCTATATAAAGTATTTTCTTTTATATAAAAAAAATATTATTATTATTTTTATTAATTTATAATATAAATAAAAATATTTTTTATTTTTTATTATTAATGTAAAGAAAAGCTAATAATAATTCAAATAATTTAGTTTAATCTAGATTATAAACTAATCTGAAATTTCAGTTCAAATTATGAACTTTAAAAATGTAGATTGCAAAAACTTTGATTATAACAAAAATTTCAGATCAATTTTAGTATTAAAAATTAGATATATATTAACCAAAATCAAAATTTGATCTAAATTAATAATGATTTATATTTAAATTTAGATTCAACCTTATAAAATAAAATTAAAATATAATTTATTTTTAGCTTAATAATATTTATTATAATAAATTATATAATTTTTATAAATTTATAATATAAAAAATAAACTAACAATTATTTATATATATAATTATTAATTTAAATATTAAACAAATACAATTTTTTATTTAAAAAAATTATAATTAAATATTTTTAAAATTAAATTGATCTAATATTTTATATTATAAATTAATATACTATAACTAGAATTAAATTATCTTTATTATTTAGATAAAAACTATTTTTTTATAATTCAACATTACAAATTTTAATTTTATTATTAATATTATATAATATTTAATTAAAGAAAAATTTATTATTTTATATATTGAATAAATACTAATTTATATATAATAAATTTACAAATAGTATGTTTAAAAAAATATTAAATTTAGTTTAGATATATATTAATACTTTTTTATTTTTATTATTAATTTAACTAAAATAAATGAACTTTTAAAATATCATCAGCAACAAAGTAAAGAGAAGTATTATTACCATCATTATCATCATTATCATCAGCAGTAATAATATATAGAGAAACACTATTACTACTATTATCATTATCTTCATCATTAGTAGCAAAATAAAGAGTAACATTACAATTATAATAAAGTAGTATATCTACACTAATTTAATATCATTTATCTTGTTAATAATAATTATTGAATTTAGTAAATTTTTTATAAATAATTTTCTAAATATTAAATATTCTTATAATATTTAAAAAGTAATTATAAATTATATTCTCAAAAGAAATATTTTTAAAATGTGAGATAAAAATTTATATAAAAATTCATTATAATTAATATTTTATAATTTTTTTTAATTTATTATAAATGATACATTTTATTTATTAATAATTCATTTATATTAGAAAAAAGATCTAACTAATGTATTTTTTTTTAAAGTATCTAAATTAATAAATTTATTTCAAATTTCTACCTAATCTACCTTTTAAATAAGTTAGATACAAGTTGAATTTTATCTAAAATTTTATCTTCTTATTAAATAATAAAGATATAATCTAATTAATCATTTCTTAAGAGATAAGAAATTGTAACAAGTAAAGATAATCTCTATTATTACTTTCAAATTTAATTATACTATAAGCAAATTTAATTGTATCATAAGTTGCAACTCAATTACACTATTTTTTTAATTACAGTGTCTATCTTTAGTAACAAGTGATTCTACTTATTAATATTTATAATTTTAGATTATTATTTTCTTAGTCATATAGGTATCTATTATATTTAAAGCAATTTTATCAATTTATATATTTTAGAATATAAGATTTATTTAATCAAATTCAATGATTAAATCAAAAATAAGTTAATATAATATATTATAATCAAATCTTAAATGAATTTTTAATAAGGTTTTAATATAATTTTGCTAAATTTTATCTTTTATCATTTTAACAACCTTAAAATAACATTGAAAAAAAAGTATTTTTTTTTTAATTTTAAACTAATTTTTTTATTTATAATTTGCAAAAATTTTTAAGCTCTTAGAACTTTTAAAGCTTACAGTAATTTACAACTATAGTAAAAAAGGTTACCTATGACTAATCATTTGCTAAGATAAAAAATAATTAAGTCTTGTAAAATAAAATAAATATAAAATATAAAAATATATCAATTATGTAAAATATAATAAAAATAATAAATAAATTAGGTAAATTTTGCAAATCTTTATAAATCTGGTGAATCAATATGATTTTTTTTTGATACAGTATATTGATTTAAATAATGACGAAGGATCGCAGAACAAATTATCTATAAAATATCCAAAAGGAGGACAACAAAATACTAGTAACACCGCATCTGGATTATGTACCTGTCACAACTCAATGCGATCCTCTATAAAATAAATAAAAAATTATTGAAAAATAACTTAAAAATAAATTAAATACTTTACATAGGTGTGTAACGAAAAAAACTCGAAAAGTTATACCCCGAAACTGCTCGTTTAAGAAATTCAAACCGGTAGCTGCATCCATCCCACGTGGCACGAGAGATATCTTTATGCCCAAATTCCCACTTAATTTTCATTTTCATTTTCGTTGACTTTATAACTTATTCCTTTAAATAAAAGGACATCAATATACAGTATCTGTTGAAACATCAACCAGCACCTTAAAAAAAGCTACTTACATATGAAATGCAAACAATCTTCTAGGCCGAGAATATGTTTAAGAAAAGATGTACCATAATTCGCAAAACTAAATTATAAAAATAGAGAAAGCTTTGATGAAAAAAGTAATGAATGGATCTTCAGGATATAACATCGACACGTTATCTTTTATATTTTCAAAAAAAAAAAAAAAAAAGAACCTTCTCCTTCACATGAGTAATTTCCTTCAAGAGATAAGTATCTGTATTTAATTCGTCTCTGTTGAATCTTAAGATCCTAATAATTTATCTTCAAAAGTTCAATAATATTTTTTGGGCGTTTGATCTAGCATACTCTTCATTGTTTAATCATTTCGGCTTGGCTACCTTGAATCTACAACGGACGATTTGTCAAACCTCTGATCTCCTTTAACGCCTGATGCTCCCTAAGCAGATCAATAATAACCGAACCATATATCATGTGAAACTCTTCCAAGAGTCATAATTAAAAGAACGTTCAAAGTAAGGAATCGTGGATTCATTAGTTTCATGAATTACTAATTCAGTGACAATCTCTATGCTCGTCTTCATATTTGAAAGTCAATCATCATTGAACGCCTCACTCAAATCCTGTTTAAAATTCACCTTTAACAGATATGACAAAATATGAAATTTTAATGTATTTTTATATACGAATTTCCAATTTGTTTAAATAACATAGAAAATAAATATCATACCAATATTCTTAATAGGCATCGAATCATACAATGTACATAATTTTTATGACCTGCCCACATTCCACTGTTTTCCCATAGATTAAAGTCAATTTGAAATAATAATAAATAAATACGATAAATATGTTAAAATTCATACCTTTGCACGTACTTCCTTATTTGTATAAAGTGTCCATGATAAATACCATGTCTCCCATCATTGTTCTTAAGCTTCCGATCAACGATAACCTTTTTTATATAAAATACAAATTAGTATTTACAGAAAATAATTAATACCGTCCCTTTGAATGATACTTACTGGATATTATCGCACATAACAGATTGAAATAATAATTGTGAACATTCCTTCGGATAACTACCAAAGAGAAACCAATGAAATTAAATTCTACATACATTTCCGATAAATACTACGTTGAAATGCTCTTTTCAATATAATTCCTCAATAACATGATCATTCACAGGTTCTGCCTCTTACAAATTCTCTTTTAGGAGTCTCGCTTATATTCCTTCGGGCATAAATAATGGTCGGGATGTATTCGTAAGGATAAAGACCATGAAATTTTGATCCGTAAATTCATTTATTATAATATAAGTCAACAGCATGTTGATCCGCACACGTCTAAGAAAACTTTCTTCAATCTTCGAAATGTTAAAATTACGCGTTTATACTTCATTCAAACATGCCAATTTCGAAGAATCCGCATAAAGTTAGAACTTTGACGTAATTACAACTCGACAACGACGTTTGTCATATTCTCGACTATATTGAAAGAATCCTCAGCGACATAGACGAAGATTTTGATGCTCAATTAGTAGAGCAGTATCTGAACTCCGTCTGGAAAGTAATTATATTTGCTGGTGAAGTTTTTTGGAGGAAGGAATGTCTGAGAGCCCCTATAGCGTTACCTGTGCCGAACGTCTTAAAAGATCTTCATGTTCTGATTTTGGAAATTGGATTTACCACTATTTCTGAATATTTCACGGAGCTGGGACGTGATGAGTCACGTGAAAAGTCTTTGAAGCTAATAAGTCATAAGTCAAAAAATTTGTCAAGGTTTTTTTATTTGACTGGTATTATATTTTACTTTCTAATGATAATAAATTTATTCGAGAATCTAGAACCTTTATTTTTGAAAGGTCCCATGAAAATTATCGATCTGAAAATTTTTATTATAACAATTTTTTACAAGAGTTACTTATTATAGATAAACGATTAGACTTTTCTATATTACAAAATATAATCCTTCTACATAATACACGTTAAACTCCTTTATTGAAAAAAAACAAAAATAAAATGACTAGGATTTTAACCAGAAAAACTTCTTATTTACGCAATTATCAAAAGTGTTCTCCATTAATTCTCTCGTATTTTTAACTAAACCAAAAACCAGCAAAAAGTACTTCCAACTCCTAGCAATCATCTCCCTTGTTTAAGGTTCGGACAGAACCTGGCCACCCTTTTGAAAACATTTTCATGGGGAGTAACTTCATTTGACTCCCCATGAAAACGCCATTCTGTATGCAATGAAGGCGTTTGGCTTCGTCCCGTTATGTTTATTAGCATTTGCAATGGGGTCTTCAATCGTTAGAGGGAGGGAGGACGGCATATTTTTTGGTTGATTTAATTAATTAATTATTTATTATTTATATTATTTATTTTATTTTATTTTATTTTTATTTTTTTTTTTGATAAAAAAGTGAAATTTTTTGAGTCGACTTTTTCTGCCCTGCCTATTTATTTATATTGGTCAAAAAGATTGATTCCGTCAGCGAGATATTATTTTTAATAAAGATTAAAAATAATTGAATGGAACTTGCAATAATCTTTCTATTTTTATACTAAAATCTTTTTTTGAAACAATTCTAAAATTTAATAATTAATACAAATGGAAATTATTTACCCTGGTATTTATTTTACACAATTGTGTTTAAAGAATATTTTTACCAAAATATTTTTTTTTAAGTGATAAAGTCAACACGATAAAAATAGAAAATTCCGCTTTTTGTAGATAACTGTTCTTTTTTTAATTAAAGACAGAATTATTTTTTTTGTTTTAAGAAATTATATTTATTAATTTATACATCTTTCATAAGACAGATTTCGATCATCAAAAATATCATCCAGATTAATTATGAAATACACCAGAATATTTTAAGGATTAAACAAAAAGAAAAGTACAATAGGTAAATGGAACTTTTATTGTTTTATCTTTTCACAAAATAACAATATTATATAACTACATTCTCATGTTCCGACTAGAATGTTGAATGAACTTACTTAACCGTTGACTTTATGTCCCATTTAATAACATAATTGTGTTTCACCAATTTATTGATATGGGAGACGCAGTAATGTGAATTGGTGATAATTTCAACTTTACTTAGGGGTTGGTAATTGATTAGAGGTAAATGGCAAACGCCATTGGCCAGAAAACTTTGAACTTACATTTATAAGATTAAATATATGTTTCTGATCGTTCAACATTACCTCAACCTTCCAATATCCATCATGAATCCAATCATTAACAGGGGCTTTCTTTCATTGTTCTGATTGCTTAAAAATCATTACTATTCACAATGTTCATGAAAATGTGTTTACATAACAACAAATATCAATTGCGAAATAAACGATGTGATGTTAATCATTTCCTTTTCTAGTCTATCCATAAATTGAAGAAATATTGCTACTACCACAAGCATAGGGTGTCCAGGAATAGTAACGGCAATAGAAGGAGTAAATTCAACGCAAATATTTACCATTTAATTGGATTCAAAATCCTACAAATGTTTTATTAGATGAATGGAGTATTTACAGTAGATTAGAAGAAATAATAGAAGAAGGAGAATTGGAATTAGATAAATATTGGAAAGAAAAAAGTTTTAATATTACAAAAATTGCATTGATTTATTTTGTTACCAGTTGCCGGAGTAGATATAGAACGCAGTTTTCTAATTATAAAAATATTTTAATTGAAAAAAGAACGTGACTTCCTTTTAATGCTTAATATTTTATAGATTTTTTTTTTTTGCGAATTATTTTTATATTATTTTACATTTAATAATTTTAAAATTTAAACATAATTTTTACCAGAATTATAAACACATACATATTTTGAGATTCAATTACACCAACCGATCAAATAATAATTCAAATGAGTTGAATACAAACTTTTTAGCAATTTTCAAGAGATTGGTACAGGCGGCTTTGGAAAAGTCTATCGTGCAAATTGGAAAAGTTCAATGCAATACCAAGCGTTAAAATCGTTTCATAACTTTAACAACGCCACTGTTAAAGAAATAATTCGTGAGGTAATTACAAAATGTAAAAGAGTTTAGGTATCTATTTCAGTCTGTTAAGTATATCATTTATACATCAAACTTAAATTTATATTTGTAAAATTTAGCTCGAACTTCAACGGGACGTTGATTTTAATTGTTATACCATCCGTTTTTATGTGATTACAGCTTCAAACCAAGGTATAAAATCCTATTTAAATTAGGTTAATTAATGATATATTGGCTTTTCCATTGTAATTTTTAACTCATTTATATATTTTTAAAAAAACCAAAAAAAAAAATTAGAAAATGATCAATTTGAAAAAATATTATTTTGTAATGGATTATGTGATGGCGGCGCACTTGGAAACTATTTGAAAGATAATTCTGATAAGTTTGCTTGGGAAGACAAATACAAATTGGCGGCTAGTGCTGGTGTCGTGTTTACATGACGAAAGAATTGTGCATCGTGATCTGGTAATTACATAATATATCTCATTTTGTTTATTATGAATCTTACTGTTAAAATTAATATTTAATCATAAAATAGCATTCCGGTAATATACTAATTCATCAAGGTGTAATTAAACTAGTAGACTTTGGTCTATCGAAAAGAATTGACAAATCAACTACCAGACAACTTTTTGGTTTAATTCCTAATATCGATCCAAAAAAATTTGGTGTACTGGGAAAAAACGAAAATATATCGCAAAAATGTACGCTAAAAGAAAAAAAAAATGACGTTTACGGTGTTGGCGTTCTGTTATGGGAGATATCAGGAGGTCGCCCTCCTTTTAAGGTGAATAATACGACCTTGATTTAGCTTTTGAAATTTTTCGTGGACGCAGAGAAAGTGTTGGTACTCCTGACGATTATGTTAACATTTATACAGGTAATATATTATTATAAATTTAAATTTATTATAAGTTTCCGATCATTAAATTGTTTATATGATTTTAGAGTGCTGAGATGATGAACCTAGCAATAAATGAATTGGTAATTAAATTAAATGTAATTATTACAAAAACGAATATAATAGAAAATGAATCAATACTTCAAATGTCAATAAATTTACCTCATACAAATAATAATAATTCATTACATTGGATCGGTTAATTATTATATCAGAATCGATTAATGAAACCTCAGTTATTACTCGTAAAAGTTTAACGACTACAGATCTTTTCAGGGTGAAATATTAAACACAGAGGAGGATTACAAAAATATCGAAAATGACAAAAACTTTACTCAAATAACCAGCTTACCGACTTAACCTAAATCTTTAAAAATTCTGTATTGTTATGAATCTCAAATAACTATGCCACCAATTTTAATACATTAATTAATAAATCTCTTCTCAAATCACTAGTTTACTAACTTTACCCAACTCCTTAACAGAATTCAACGATAGTAATCCATTAAAATATCTATGATTAGTATCGCGGCAAACAATTAGTAACAGGAAATATATGTTATTAACGTTTATTAAAATCATCGAAAATTTATATTCTAATAAAGATCGGCAAGATTGGCAAACAATTTTTATTAAAAAAAAAAAAAAAAAAAATCAGGGCGAATTTGCCTGCAAACAACTACAATTTAAAGGGATTAATTTTTAAAGAAATGAATAATCGAATAAAAATTTTTTTTACTTTTTCTTTAGTGTGTTATAAATATATATAAATGAAGGAAAAAAAAATATATTTTAAAAAGTGTAGCTTTTCGCTTTAAATGATAAAATACCAACGAGATATAGCTGGTTTTTTGCTTTTGTTAAAGTTAAAATACCAACAAGGTATAGCTGGTTTTTTGCTTTTGAATAGTCTTATTTGGATGCTTTAACCCAAACGTTTTTGAATTTGAATTCATGAAATAATGGATTTTGTTTGTATATTAAAAAAAATATTCCTTTTTTTGTTAAAATTACAAGTTTTTTATAAGTTGTATAGAAATTATAGGAGTTCATTTTAATAGATTGAATAAATTATAGATTGGATAATTTGAGACATTTGATGTTTTATTAAAAATTTTAGTGCGAAAAGTGAATTTTTTTAGCAAAAAGCCGTGAAAATATGGTTGTATTTATTTTCAGTTACTTTGCGTGTGGCGGAATTGTAAAACATCACTCGGCATAGAATTTGTCTATTTTTAGCTAACTTGCAATAATCTTTTTTGTTTTGTTTATTATATATTAGAATGTATGTGCAACTTTGAGGCTTTTTTGTATTCGACTGTCGACAGAAAGTTTCCAAGTAAAATTTCACCCTCACGTGACCGGTGATATCAGATATAACGGTAAAAAACATCACCAAAACAAAAAAGAAAAAATCAATTAAACGCAATTACCATGACCACTCTTTAATCCTATTATTAAATATACTATGCAAGAACTGAAGTTGACCAAACGAAATTAAAAATAGTAAATTTAAAAAAATAAATACCGTATTCCTCCGAAAATAAGCAACCCCGAAAATAGTATTATATCCGAAAATAAGCAACATGATGCTTTAAATCAATATAACTTTATAATTGTTATTTAAAAACAATGAAAATATATTTATAATAGATTCTTAAATTTTATTTTATTTTATCATATTAAACACAATCGCTAGCACTATCATTGTCATTATCAATATTACTCGCATCATCATCATCACAATCTCCATCATCATCACTATCACTATCTCCATCATCGTCATTGGTATCAATGTCGTCTTTATCAATAATCTCTAAATCAGAATCTAGTTCATTTAAGTCAATCGATAGTTCACATGTCTTAAAGGATCCTATGATGATTTCGTCAAAAATTCTTTCCCAGGAATTTTTAACCCATCATTAAACTTAGCACAACGAAGGTTTCCCGCGGCTGTTTCTCCTGCACTGCCACGAGTCACCCAAGTATGCCATTCCATATGGAGGTGATTTTTAAATGGTTTGTTTATCGCAACGTTAAGTGATTAGCAAATATTAGTCAACCCACCCGAGATTACCATGAGATCAAAGCCACACTCATAAAAATTTTCTTTTAACCGATTCTTCTAAATGGCCTCTAAAAGAATCGTATACAAGCATTAAGTATTCTGCAGCCTTAATTTGTCCGTGTTCTTTCGCGTAGGTAACTACCTGTATTTTTTGTTCAATAGAATATGAAGTGCGCTTAACAATACTTTTTCTTATAGGTTGTGGCATTTTTTTTTTACAAGCATACAAATGAATTGGAATGAAGTATTTAATGCAGTTCTGTTCGCATTTTTACGTGACAATAGCCGATCAAACGTAAAAATATCGATCAAACGTGACAAACAGGTGACCAACAGTCACGGGATCGAATTTGGAATTTTTCGAAAACGAATTTTATAAGCAATATATATTAAATATTATAAATTCTGAAAATACCCGATAATAAGCAACCTTATAATAAAAAAAGGTTGCTTAATTTCGGAGGAATACGGTAATAATATTAATAATACTTGTTTTATACTTTTATTAATATCTCGTAACTTGTTTATATTTTCAATATAATAAAATAATATGTGTAAAATAGTAAATATGGAATGCTGTGTTAACTGTAAAATATTCAAGAAATCCCATCGCTATAAATTTAGTTTAGATAAGTTATTGGTCATCAAGTTATAAAGATAAAAAACATTTATAATTTTACCACGGGCTTGTCATTGTTTTTCCAAGGGGGCTAATTAATATCCAAAAAAAATATTTTCTGACGAGTATTTAGATAATTTATATCTATTTCACTTTTTGCAATATCGATTAAATAATTTTTATCAGCTGTAATTTTAAATATCATTCGGTATTTTTAGTCGTTGACAAAAGGTGATCTTTATTATTGTTGCAGTATTAATTAGTTTACTTTCATTTAAAATAATCAATATAATCGATGATAATTACCATTAATAAATTTTCATATCTTGAAATATGGATTTTAGCTTATAAAATAAAGCAATTCGTCTTCTATAATAATTAATAAGTTCGTTAATATATTCTTTCCATTAGGAAATTTTAAAGTATAATTCGTTAAAAATGAAAATTGTTAAATTATATTATTAAACTTATCACAAAAAAGTAACAAATTTACCTTTTTTCGTGGTTCTTAAAAAGTGGTTCTTCCATTTTTTTTTTTAAGAATTTAATATAAATGACGAGAAAGAGAATGATAATGAAATTTTCTTCATAATTTAAGTCAACATCATAAAATCACACGATAATATCGTTATTGTGCTTTACGTTGATAAATATCAAAATTATTGTCCAATATAATATGATCGGTTAGATTTAGCCACTACGTGGCTAAATATAACTGATCATCATTATGAATTGGACGATATTAATCGTTGCAAAGCACAATAACTTATAATTATTGAGCTCAATAAATGATCCGAGTTAAAAAATTAACTTGTCTTCGACCACCTTCAAATCCGAAACGTTGCTACAAGAATGTATAACCGACTTTCAATAATCAAGCGGTTAAGATTCTATATTTTAACTTGGATAATTCAAATATTGTATTTGAAACAGATAAATGAAATGTTATGTTGGGAAGAGTACGATATTATAAAAGATGAGAAATTGGCATTCAAATATTATGAAAAAAATGAGCAATGATAAAAATCCGATTAAGTTGATCCTTCATCTTAGACATACTAGGTGAAGCACCTGATATCTTTATATTAGTGAGAAACATTATCTTCGTAAGGAGATCCAATATTGATAATGCATATTCATTATAACCGATCTTTCATCGAAAGTTTGTCAATTCTCAGCGATTAGATTTAAAAGTGATTTAAAAGTAAGTTGTAAGATTTTGTTCGGACCTCAACTGATAAGGACGAAGTAAAAGTCGGTATTGACCAAATCACTAAAAAACTAATATGTAAACAAAACCCGAATATCTTCACGGCGTATGAAGTTGTAAAATTGAACCTATGGAAGGTTAAGGGTCAAGTGAAGGAAAAATGTTTGGAAAACACTTAATATCTTGTCCGGTGATGAGTACCTAAGGATGAGGATGGTTCTATCGGTTAATTTTCGGTTCCTCTTCGGTTCTACTTCGACTATTCTTAAGTAAGTTAAAACTTTGAGCGAGCGTTAAGTTAAATATATATACTAATAGTGCATCATGTGATGATCAATTTAAAAAAACTTTTAGACTGGTTATTAAACAAATTCGGCCTATTATTATCTTTAATTTAATGACAATCCGATTTTGAGCCGACTCTTGGAACCGGCCCGGAGTCGGTTCTGGTTCGATTTTTAAAATTGGTTAAAAATGGTTTGTAACTCAGGAAAACCCACAATATGCCGAATTTATAATCGGTTACAGAACCGACTCGGAGCCGCTCTTTTTGAACCTACCCCATCCCTATGAGTACCCTAAAACCAAAATCATTGAAGCCTCGAAGGAAGATTTTGCCTGCAAATAAGGATGTTTTGGGTTCTTCACGTTTAATTCCAAATTGTATCATCACCGTACAACCTCCGCCTCCCGCTACCACTGGCTGGTAAATGTTTCTGAATGATTTACCTCTTGAACAAGAATTTGCAGTCCATTTCGATTCTTATTCTTCTTTCATCATTTCAGCAACCACATTAGCTTGCTTTGCTATCTTCGCAACAACCAATCTCTCCTTATCAACAACGTTTTATTCACAAGTTCTATGATCGCAAACAAGCAATGGATAAGATTGCAAAAGATGCCAACAATAATTATATTAAACGCTTGAGTATTTATATTGATTCCTGGCAGGAATGGAGTCACAACTTCTGATCACCTATGCAGAAGAATCAGTATTGCCAAATTTAACTGTTGAAAAAGATTCGATTAAGGCTGCTCTTAATGATCCATTTATATTGATGAACATCATGCAAAAGTACGAATAGAAATGCGTGTTGCAATAGCTGCGGGCTTGATAGACAAAACGCCGAATTTCATTGAGCTCTATTGCCTTGATAATATGATACAAGAAATCCTTCGCCGCCGTTTCAAAGCAAATAGTCGACCTCTTGAATCTATCATAATACATATCGATGAGTATCAAAGATACATTGATTTCATTCACCACTATAAAAGAGGACGCCCGCATCTTCTACACAAGGGATTGGCAGTCAGGCTACACGCAAGCAAAAAAGTGTTGGGGAATACTTTATTATCCCGATATGCACTGGAACTTCAGCTTTTTGATGTTCACTTTTTACATACAGAATATACTAAAGTCTTGGTGTCAACACAAACCTTGATTATATCTCAGCATACATGATGTTTCTTGACAAATATAAATACTAAAAGCAAACCACCAAAAGTGCAAAGAAACTTTTAAAAACAACATGTTGAAAAGTATTATAATACATAATTTGATTAAAGTGTAATTAATGAACGCTCAAATGAACTTTGTGAACTTGTCTCATCTCAGGAACATTTTCGTGTTGCTCTATTCGTTACTGGGTTTATTCCAAAGTTCCTGGATGACCTTCTATCTCCTCCGTCGAAACTCGAAACCATAATAAAATCCCGTCAAAGTCAAAACTATATTATATACTTATTAATAAATCCGTCGAAATATTGGGTTTCGACTTTTGCAATTTGCTAAAATGTGTTTTGCCAGGCAACTATAATTACACCACAAATTGACTGGGGCAATATTTAGTTTCATACATCATTACAATCTGTTGAAATTAACAAAAAAAAAAGCCAGGTTGCTGGAAAAAAATCAAAGACATATGACCCATAATCTTATTTGGGATTACTCGACAGACTGTTAGAAGATATTTTTTGATACCTAGTGCGACTTCCATTGGTGATGTTAAGCGAGCAGGTTTAATCTTTCTCACAATCCCCAATGATACTCATTCCAATGATGAATTCATTATATTTATTTATTTTATGTTAATAAAGATACTTAACAAAATGCCCTGTCTACAGCGGATCTCCTGACTCAGATGAACTACTCCTTACCCTTACAAAAGAACGCCCTTGGCGGTGACAAGATTTTGAATGCCTTCATGGATACTACCAAAAAGCACTTATTAAGGCTTTAATCAATGTTAGAAATACACGAATTCTAATTTTAGTGAAAAGTATTAGGACGCTTAAAGACACCACAAAAGAAGATGTTTATGATATCTTAGACCAAATCGAAATGAAAAACCGAGTTGTTTAATTGTGCAATGTCCGTTGTTTTAACAAGAAACTTTTCTTCACCTACATCATGTAATTCGACATGATGTTGAAGAGTTGCGTCACCCTTCGCAACATGAAAAATATCTGACAGGCACCACTTCATTTGCTTTTTACTAGAAAGATAGGTTATTGTGTGATAATTACATTACCCGTCAAAAATTTTTGCTTACCGTTTGATTCTTTGCAACGTTAAATAACTGCTTGCAAATATAATCCAAAATAATCTTGGTTTTAAAAGAGTTTGCTTAGAGGTGACATACTATAATAACGAAGCTTAAAGGTCTTTATATTGTTATAAAACTTGTTTTAAAACTTCTAATAATCCCAAAAAAGTTTTAAAACTTGTATTTGAATTACTTCTTGTATAATATGAAAAGAATAAAACCATAAATAACTAATGATTTATTACATTTTAAATTGCTTGCATTGCTTTCACGAAAGATATAAAATATTATATATATTATCGTTATATGTCAAATTTATATATGGTCTAGATCATGTGATCATATTTATTATTTTATTATTGTTCAACCTTTTTGTCGATTGTACTTATTACAGAAATGCTGATCAATATTTTAACCAATTATAAGAAAGTCTTCCTATGAATTCAAACCCCTTATGCATTCATCAATGGAAATTCTGTTTCTTAAAAAAAAAAATTTCTTTACGGAAAAATGAAAATAAATAATATTCGGATTATGGATACACGGTTGACGAATACTCAAAGTTTCAGTGCGTCAAACTTGTAAATAAAAATGGTTCGATCTTTCAAATACTTTTCTGAAATTCAACGATTTTAATTATATTCAAGAAAAACTTAATATCATTTTGGAGGAGTGAAGTAACTTTCGAGATTTTATAGAACAATCAATAATTCGTAATTAAAACTTGATGCTAATGATTTGATTACATTTGATGAGTGCTGTAAAGATGACAGTTGCTAGTGATGTTGGAATATTAAGATAATGTTTGTATTTAATAAGGAGAAATCCAGATCATTAAAGGACCCACTTAAGGGAATTAGAACTCGCTCTTCACCGAATATAAGGAAAAACGGGAGAATTTATCTAAAAAAAAATAATTAAAGCAGATAAGTAACCGATAATGCACGATTTATCTGACTACGGTCCTTGGAAGGTAATTTTTTTTTTTTTTATGGAAATTTCTAAAATTGATTATTATTTTTTTCTTTAAAAAAAAGAAGTTTATATACAGTATTAACAAAAAAATTTTTTCAAATTTTAATATAACAGCGTAGCTACGAGCTACAATTTCAACTATTGTTAGAGATTATTCTAAATAAATTAAAAAAACAATCTATCAGAAATGAAAAAATTCCTTGATAATATTATATACAGTACTATATCTGAATCTTATCTTATTGGGAAAGTTGCCGAAATAAAAATGGGAGACGAATAAAAACTATCGCCAGGACCATTTCAAATAAAGCGAAAGCGATTCTCTTGATTACAGTATTTTTATGCGAGTTGCTTTGAATGATGATAGGATGTTACGTTAATTAAAATCCTTTTAGTTGTATTTTCTTTTGTTACCTTTTATTTTTTTAATTTAATTTCATAATAAAGTTATATTTTAACAAATTCTTTAATAAATTCAGAAAAATAGAAAAAGAACCAAATTAATTAAATGCAATCGAATTTCCTTTATTCCATTAACAATAACAGCCTTGTCAAATATTGATAAATTCACTTATAATAGCGATATGATATTCCTAAATCTTCTTGATTTTTGTAATTACATTAAAGGAGAATAAAAAAAAAATGCGAGATTGAAAATCAAATGAATAATAAAAAGGATTCAGACAAGGACTAGCTGCTGATGGTAATTTATTATCGTAAAACAAAAAAGTAAACATGAAAATAAAGTTCATGTATTTTGGGATTGAGAAAATTGGAAATCTTATTAGAAAGAAAATTGTTGATTGTTGGGGTAAAAAAAAAAAAAAAAAAAAAAGATTCTTTTTTTTTGGACTAAACAAATGAACGAAACTTAAAATGTTTATCATATCATGATAAGTGCAATTTTTTCAAGGCGGTGTTAATCCTAAACACTACGTCGTTAGGATAACAAAGCTTATTTGCTAACAGGGAGTTTAAGTCGTAATAAACCCGAATTTAATCAAGTTGAAGGGTCAGATCGTCTCTTTATTGATGATTTATTTATGTTTTAATGAAATAGATATTGACAAAAATATATGTTTTACGTGGTTAAGATTATACTTTATTTAATTGTAAGATAGAAACTTATCCCTTTGCTAAGGCGACATTACAGGATATATATATAAAATACAAATATAAGAAATAGATAATTAACATAATAAAAATAAATATAACTATGAAATGATAAACTATATTAAAGCGATAGCAGTGAAATTGGTGAAAATGGTGATCACACTTTTCATGATCATTGGTGATCCTAATTGGCAGAGTCATTTAGTGACGCATATTGATTAACAACAGCGGGAAAGCGGGTTGAAAGAAAATAAGGGGGATTTTTTAAAAAAAAAAAGCTTACGGAGCCACATTTTTGAACAATAGACGATTTGAATAGCTAAAATGTTGCGGTATGACAAAATAACAAGCGGGCGCATTCAAAAGACCGAGTTAGTGGAATAATAGCCACGACAAAAGATTCTTCAATACGTTTTGAAATTATTTTTTAATGCCATAAATAATATGTTTTAATGTGGCTATTTCTTAAATTTGCTGATCTATTGTATTTATTTATATTGTTATATTTAATATAATTCCGCCCTGAAAACACTTTACATGTAGATATTCGCAGTTAGTCCTTTGTAGATCGTTTTGACTTGGCTAATGAACAGGGTTGGTAGGATGGTAGGATGCCAAATTATTTTTTTTATAAATATGAGCTGAAAATCCTAAAACAGCTGAACATACCACTCTTGCCCTTCTTATAATTTCATATATACATCTTATACCTTTTAAAGTTGAATTATAACCTTTAAAGATTATTTATTGGTTTCGTTTGATCATTAATCTAATCGCCATAGATTTATTACATTTGAATCATTAATCTTGCGGAGTAATTTTTTATGATCTCTAAAATTTACAAAAAAAAAAAAAAAAATCATTAAAAATGAAAAAATAATACTTACTTCAGAACATAAATATACAAAACTCATCAAGATGGAAGTTTTCACTTCAAAATGTTCTTTGAGATTTATAAAAAAGGTTAGGGACCAAAGTCATGATGTAAAAGAAAGTACTTTTTATATTGTTAATTTCTGTTCTTTGCGGTTGTATTTATAAATAATTTAAACGTAAGCAGAAGGTTTTTATTAAGAAATTATGATGTCAAAATATTTCAATATATTAATTTATAAGTGTTGCCTCGAAATTACGTTTATTAAATCGATTCAGTCAGTAAATAATAATTATTTAAAACTACGAGCAAAAGAAATATATAAAATATATAAAAAATAAAAAATGAATGGTTGTGGTGTAAAATATCATTTAAATCCGAATGTCTTCATTAAATTAGGACTCGTGTCATAAAAATTGATAATCCCGACTCGAATTCTCGTGTCGTTCAAATGAAGTGAGCTCGATTTAATCAGCTTAGAGCGCTTCTAGGTTATTTTTTTTAAAAAATATTCTTTTATTAAATTGGTTCATTTTGAAAATATGTATAAATATGTATATGTTATGTTTTATTTTTTTTTTTTAAATTTGCTACAGGTTGCTATTTTGTGATATTTTAAGGGTTAGTTTACTTGAATTAACAATCGAGTGTAATGTACATAGGAGAAAACCATTCCAAATAATTAAATAAAATAGATTATGAAAAATTAATTAATTAAATTGAAATTATCGAAAAGAATGTCTATTCCTTGAAAAACAACAAGCAAAACTATATATATATATAAGAGAAAAGTAAAATTTATTAAAAGTTGTGGACTTTGCATATGTAAAAGAAATTTGCAAAAAAGTTAATTACTGAAACTAAATAATAGTGTAACTGTAATAAAGATTATTTTAATCTTTCGTCAACATCAAAAAAAGCTCAAAAGGACACTTCTGGAAGTGAAGTCTAATA